AGTACCTCCAACAAAGTTCAGCTGAAGCCGAGACATAGTCTACTGAATTCTTAAAAATCGATCTAACCACTGTTCGGCAGAGGTTGCTGGTTCTTACCACTTCTCACACTAAGTCTACTATGAACCATGCAAGCTATGCATACGGTCTGTCATCTATACAACGGAAGTACTGTCAATCGCGGCAACTGCAGGCACTCAGTTTGTGAAGTATTTGGTTCCATTAGCATGTATCAGTCACGCTAATACACACCCGGTGATACTGTTCAGGCGATCGGCATTGATTTTTTTGCGGGCAACGACACTGTCGAATGTCTAGAGGCTAGTCCTGATGTTGGTATGCAATTCTGTATCAGTGATCGAACTCGAAAGAATGTGAGGTTTTATTAGATAATGAATGTGATGTAGGTCGCTACCGGTCAGTAGTGGCTGGTGAGATCTACGTTTGTTTGTTACATAAAAGGATGTCTGATCTTACAGCAGTCCTGAGAACTTCGTTTAGACATTCCCACTGATCAACTGATCGTCTGTTTACCAGTGTAATTCATTCATAACTCAATTGCACTTCCTATATTCATTGTCACTCCTAATATTACTGCTCAACTTTTTCTACATTTCAGACATTTTATTTTCTTGTCGGTGAAGAAACAGCTCTCTTCAAGGGGGGTTTCCTTGGTACCAATTTGCAGCGCAATAGTGCTACTTTCTCACACCCACGATTCTGACAAAAAAAACAAATCAACTCAGTCGCACCAGAGAAGTGAATTTGATTTTTTTTCTCTGGATTGCACGAGAGAAGATTCAGTGGTCAGAACTCGAATACACCGACTGGAAAGTCCGTGGCTTGAATCTGGCCTCTGCCTCTGGGCTTCTCCTGTCTAGGCTTGAACTAATTGGATGTATCCCAGCCCTTGTGCTTCTTTCAGGTGGCATGGCACCTAGACACCAAAAGCGTATTACGGCTGAATGGTTTGTATTACAAGATGAGCTGAAGAGGAGTCTTTTCCACGTAAAACTTCACGATGACTAAATTCCCACCGTTGCAACCACGATCATCTGAAGGTGCGTTGTCTCCAATTGAAAACGTTGTCATTTTTCCCCACATTTTGATATACGTTTTGTTACCGAGATCCTCTCTAAAGCCAGAAAACGTGGTTTTCAGCCGTCTTGTCTCAGCTTTGTGATGTCCATTGATTGTCAGAAGTGTTAGTACAAGCTGATGAAAAATCCAGCTACTTTGGTCTCAGTGACTGATTAACGAACAAAGAAGCTGTAGAGAGATGGTTGTGAGATTCATAGAACTCACGTTCTCCACAATCTCTTTTGAACAGTTTTCCTCATGTCGCTGACCAATCCTCCTGGCGGTCCACATCAAAATGTGGAAGTACTGAGTTTGAGCTTCTCTCTCATCATAGCTCATCAGTGGTGCATATGCCGAGCTTTTAACTTCGGACATCTGAATACGAGTTTAGCGGGTTTCCTGTACGTCGCCAAAGGACATTCGGTGAAACTGACTCATCACATCAGAAGGGTCGGTAGTATATACGCTTAGTTGATGGAAACAAGTGTTTGACTGCACAGGGTTTCTCTTAAGTTCTACAAACTCACATAAACTCAAGTAATTGGATCTTTATGACATTGTACAAGACACATATTACTGTTCACACACGACAATATTCTGAGATGTTCTTGGTCTATATGCTCGTGCCTACGTAGTTCTGATAATCGTTAAATTGCAACTGAATCTGTGACAACGCATTGCAACATTGTTGCTTCCGTTTATTTATCGCTTTCAACTTATTAACCTAGATCTACAAGCGTTTTTCAAACTCTCATCCACAACCTTTGCGCAATTTGGATAAACGGTGCTAAACAAAGGTTTGTCAGAACCACACAAAGGATGGGTAGAAGTGTCCTGGAAAAAAAACAAATCCAACGTAAATGCCTTCTGCTTTTAGTCAGAGGAAGCTTTTCATGTGGAGCACCTGTATCTGTTTTGTACATTGAGTACACTGAGTCAATGCAATGCAGAAGTGTAGCTATAGAAATTGGAGGCTTTTGTCACTGACCTATCATTGTGATGGGAGTTGAAAAAATTAACCTGGTTGTTTTGCGAAATGGCACCAAACTTCTTCCCGTAAAAGTTTTGTTTATTGAGACTGCTGCAAGTAAATATCACGACCAGATAGGCTTCGTATATCTTGTAGGAGCCAACACAAAAATAACGTCACCGTGGAAGAATTGAAGACCATGGTCACGAGAAACAAGCACTTGAACAATGAACAGTTCCAGGGAAAACGTTATTTCATTGATATCAGTTCTTCGTCGTAATATTTTTGCTGTAATTTCCTGTGCAATAAAATTTTGATCGTTTCTTGTTTATTTTCATTAAAAGGTTGCGAAATACGGCCCAAATGAATCCCAGCTGATTCTCTCGTTTATCAGAAACCTCAAATGAATGTAATGCAAAAAGACCGTCTCATGTTTCATCTATTACGATATCCGAGATACTGTGGTATATGTTTTTGAAGAAAAAAGACTCTTCTACAGTCCAGGACTGGTTGTTCTCTTCTTGAGAATCAGCAGGTATACCTGGTCTCTCAGCTTCAGTCAGCTTTCGATGCTTCGACTATCCTAGGGTGAATTTTGTGCAGCATATTCATTTGCGGAATAACATAAACATAAGATATTCATTTGGGATTTATCTGAACCTCCCATTCCAAATTGGTTTATAGACGAGTGTGCCCCGCGAATTATGCACCATTTGCGTTCAAGCGGAACATAATTATGACGGATTTTAGGGGATTGGGTCAGCTTGATGGGTCCGAAGGAGGGCAAAACTAGTAGTGGGTTGGTGGTTGATCATATGGCAGTTGATCCGTTTGCCGAGCTTGGCAAATGGCTCGTAAACTTTTCGTCCCCAGTTGAGGAGACATCGTCAGTGCGCGGTTGAGTGGGTGCTTTCCACGTGCCTAGCTGTGTTTATATAGCTTTTAAAGAAGCACCCATTCAACTGCGTACTGAGGACGTCTTCTCGACTGGGGACGAAACGTTTGCAAGCCAGTTACCAAGCTCGGCAAATAGATCAACTGCCATCTGACGAACCACCAGTGAACACATCTGAGCTACCTATAGTAGTAGGTTGTCGAAAGGTTTTCAATAAACGCACGCGTAGTGATTGGACAAGCATTAATTAGCGGATTTTACATAAAAATCGTCAAATAAAGCCAAAAGCCACCAATGATTAACTGTTTTATGCAGTTACTCGGATCAGTGGGTGGTCAGTTATACCTGATGAATGCCAACGAATTTAAACACTATTCGGTACGCACTTGGCTTGGTCCTCGAAATCTAAAACAGAAAAATATCCCTCACTGGTTGCATTGTTCGGTGCAGATAATTTAATGGCTTAACTATGTTTGTTACATTCTATAATTATTGTCTTCTTTAAAAGGATTAGAAAAACAAAAGTACTCTAGACCGATTTGCATGTGTTTTCGCATCGCAGGATATTTTAGTCACACAACTCAGCTGATAGGCTGGCTTACCTTCTGCAGAACTTCCCCTCTTCTTGAGCGCTTTCTCCAGGCGGCGTTCAAAGTACTCAATGTCATCAATGCATCTGTTGAGCATGTAAAAGTGCCGACTGTACGCATCCACAATGGTATTTCCTCGCTAAATTCGTCAAAAATAGCATCAACGGTGCATGATTACTTTGCTGTCAACATGCAATCAGACAAACTAACTGTACATTTACATCGAAGTACCTAAGGATCAACATCAAGGTGGAATTTATGATCCAAAAAACGCTTGCCAACAGTAAAAACCATAAGCAAGCAATTTTTTACCCGCATTGGGAAGTTGAAGGACAATTTAAAAAGGAAGAAAAGAGATGCGAGTTGGCGACCATGGATTGCCAGAAAACAGGTGGCCATACTCCAGGCGTACCAATCAAATACTGAATACCACGTTTTTGGATTATCCAAACTGTTTTCTTGTGCAGCTTTGCCTACTTTACGGTCTCTTCTGGCTGCTGCTGCTCTTGCCTTGTCACAGAGAATAAACCCCCGTGAAAAGCACAGCTGAACAACCCCTGTATGTGTCCTTCAAGTTCCAGTCCTTGAGACATCATTCTTACAAGACTTAGAACGCTGTCTACAGTGTGTAGAAGCAACTATACAGTACAACTTCTACAGTGAAGCAACTATACAGTACAACCTTCTACAGTAAATTTTTTTAATTAAATGAGAATGACGTACAGAAGTTGCATCACGTTGATGTTTAGGAAAATAAAATCCCATCCTAACCTTATACCTACCACTAGTGTTTCAAACAAGATTTCTCACTGCACATTTCTGCTAGTGGTGTCAACTTCGACTTTTGATGTGCTTTAGTACACATGATGCAGTCAGGTGCTTCACTAGATTCAAGAATTCGAGCATCGAAGAGACAAGTTGACAATCCATGCGCTGGCGATGGAGAGTTGAGTACACCACGTGAGGACTCGTATGGTTTACCTACACCACACGTTGTCTCGCAACCGCCCGTCGTGAGATATCTGCGGAAAACACTGTTTCAAATTATGACAATAATTAAGAACAGTATTGCACTTGCCTCCTGAGTGATGGCAATTAGACAACCAAATCCTATCATCAGAAACGCGTTTTTCCAGCTAGGCTCGTTGAAGGAAATTCTACTCATTACTTTGGAGGTCACTGAATGATCTGTATTTAGATATGGGGGTGATATGGGCATGAGTGAACGTACTTTTTGTCTGCGTAAGTTTTGATTGTATCATGACACCTAGTATCATATGGCTGGGAGAAAACAATGCGATAGGCCGTAAGCGAAGTAACAAGAGTGGTGGGGGCTCGGGTCGCACTACCTAGATGCAGCAATGAGCCAAAAAATAACGGTATGCAGGCATCCATTCACTAAAGAGCTACCAACGCACCTTTCCGCCTCCCCAAACTATCGGTAAACAAGTGTGGCAGCTAGAACCATTGTAAGCGGCTTTCACAACTGATGCTACGTTGCTCTCACTTCTTGGTAAGAAGTTTTGAGTACAGTCCCACATCATATGCAACGGAGTGCGAATGTTGTGCAACTTGTGCGTGGTGAAAAAATCCTCAAATCCCAAGCTCCAGCTAAAATCTCGTTTTTCAAGTTGATCTAGACTGAAGAACTACGAGTCCTCTAAACGTGTTTTTTTGTTTTCAATCGTCGCCAGGCTACAAACATAAAAGATTCAAAACTTCCACATTCCAGTGGCTATCTGGGAGTGAATGGCTTCTTATTAATATGGTTATTTTATACCTATTCAGGGTAAGTCAGCCCGTTTTCCTGTCCTCTAGCTCGCGTCACATGATCTGCCTGCTTAAGTGACTAATTACTCAGAACAACCATCTGTACCTTGTGAGTTACTTTCTTGTGATCAGCTTGACCAAGTATTCTACGAGGGATTTATTCCGGATTCGACATCATTATCACAGAGCAACATTGTCATGGAAAAGGTAGAACAACCACTTGCTCTGATTGGATACCGGAAGCAAGAAAATCATCAATTTTGTCAAAACCAGAAAAGCGGACGATCGCGTTATCCCCGTAAGTATTACAACTTGTTGGGTGATGTAAATCAAATGGAAGGTCCTTAAGTGGTGGTTAACATGAGAAAGTAGAGATTCCATACTGAAAACATCACTTTTGGTGGCAAACCACAAGTAGTTTACAAAACTCCGATTGTATTCTATCCAAAAAAGAATTTTGCGTTTTCTCTTCCCGTCACTATCAGCAAAGCATGTGTTAGCCTTATGCAAACACATTGAAGGTAAAAGCTATCACGCAGTACTGAAACAGTGACCTTTGAGTGTTCCCACATTCGCGCTTCCTCCGGAAACCCTTGTAACCTCAATTCAATCCGTAGTCTTGTTTCTCTCAGCTGTAAATCCCTTTGAGATCGGGATTACAGAGATTATTTTAATTTGATAACGAGGTTGTGGCGACATATGGATCGTCATACAAACTTTTGCTCGAAATCAGGGGTTTTCTTACACACAAGCTGCTGTCTGGAAAGGATGACATGGGACTTTTCCCTGGGTCTCCGTGTCTATACAAAACACAGACGAGGAGAAGCATTCAGCCGAATAAATTCTAAGAGGTGAAACAACCGCGACAAAAATTAGGGGATAATACGGTTGCGTATTACTTACGTATGTCCAAAATGGCACCAATTTTTATTGACACACCGTACTACTTATAAGGTTGCTGATGACGTTTCGACAGGAGCAAGCTGTGAGTCACCCAGATATCCTGGTGACATCAAAGTTATTTGTGAGTGAGTGTGGCTCGCTCAGAGCATCAAGTGTTTGTTTATTTAGAATGAAAGACGGAACGTCCGGCTTCTCAATGTGTTCACAGTCTTTTCCTTCCCTGATCATTCTCCTTAGATTGGAAATTTATCAATGTTCTATCACCTATGCACACGTCGGGGGACGTGCAAAAATGAACTTGCCACCTGTTGATTATTGTGCGCTGAGTGCATCCAGAGGGTGATGAAGTGAGATTAGAACGCCAGGCGCGCACCCATGCGTTCCGAATCCCCTTAATAGATAGAAAGTCCTTATAAGGATGAATGCTTATTTCAGTTTACAACTGTTTACCACTTGCTACAGCTACATAAGTCTTCTAACTTCCATAAGGGATTTTGCCTTACATTATGTCATTACGAGCAGAGCGGTTCAACTTTAAATAAGTCCGAAGCACCATTGTGTTCGCATGTGTCTCCGTTGCATATGGCTATATCTCAAAGCATAAAAACGTTTGCTGCACAACAACCA